TAGGTTTTCTTAACCTTTATAATAATTAGGATAACAATAAAAATAGTGTGTGGCTTATTTTCAAAAATTATAAGTAACTGTTATTTATATTAATTCTTTTTTAATTAAATTTACATTTCCAAATGTGGTAATTACGTGTATATCTTTTACCGTATTTGACAAGTCATAGGCTTGAATAATTTTTAATTCATTTTACCCCATTACATAATAAAAAATTCGATGTCTAACTAGATTTGACAACGAAAAGATGAACATTCACCATCATACAGAATACTTGTATCTCATTATGTTTAAAAAGAATGTGTTGTTATGGATATCGTCACAAATCAATCGATTATATTAATATAGCTATATAAATGTGCACAAATAACTTTGATTTATTGTTTTAAAATTACAATTTATTGAATAAATAAATGTTAAAATGCTAATGATCCAAATCCTTTTGCCATTTTTTTAGAATGTGCGTTTCTTCGATTGTGATTCCCGTATTTTCCTTTATTTCCACTTTTTTGATTTTCTTGCCCGGCTGATGATGATGATGATGATGACGACGACTCATTATTTTCAGCATTAGAATTGTGGCGATTTTGATTAAATTTACCTCTGAAATTTTTTGATGATGAGTTTAATTGCTCTTGCTCTCCACTCCACTCATATTTCGCAAGTAATTTATCTTTTCTTGGCTAATAATTAAATATTTTTTAAAATTATTATTATATTTTAACACAGAATATAATAATATTGTAATAATTATTTTGATGAATGATCTTACATTTCGTTGAAACATTATATACCATCCTTCTATTTGTTCATCTGTCATCTGTGTGATTTTTTTAAGGTGCTCACGGTTACGTGATTTTCTTGATTCTTTTGTTCTCTCAAATACAGAAGGATCAGATTGAAAAGCCTTAATAAATTCGCTTTCACAAATGATGGCTGGATCGAGCTATTTTACGCATATGTATATATATTTATATTAAAAAAAATCAAGTAAAATCATCATTACTGCCACAACCAGCGTCACTATAGATAATACTAACCTTAGATTTCTCTTCTCTTTCAGCATCAGCTTCTTCATCAAATTCATCAACCATATGTAAATTAAAACCTCCCATTTTCAGACCACTTGAATCATATGTATCATCATATCCATCTTCACTATATCGTACGATTCACTATACAGTAGGTTCACTATATCGAGCGCCGACTGTAATACAGTGTAAAAATGGGGTAGATTTAATGATTTTTACTAATTGTCTTGCATTTTAATTGTGCAACTTTATTAAATTCTGTAATGTGACCATTTTTTTGTGAATACACATACAAACTCGATAAGTCGGCCCGCAGTAATCAATTGTTTAAAGTACTCGCTAATATAAATTATGCGGCCGACTTATCAAGTTTGTATGTGTATCACAGAAATCATGGAAATTTGAGGTGCAGCAAAAAATCATTGTGCGCAGTACGTTACACGTATTACAGTGATGGTAATAGTGATCACATATTCTTTGATGAATTAATAATTCAAACAAAAATGAAAATTGAAGAATTTTCATTCCCTCCTTATGTAAGCTATTCCCCCGAATTGTCGTCAAACGATTGGAACAAGGCACTTACCGCTTGGGGGGTAGGACTTTCGTTACTTCTTAAAGCTTCTGTTTCGGAATTTGTTGAAGCATTATTAAGTAACAAGAGTTTACAAAAGTTTTTGAAAACTTTTTTTGCACTTCGTAAAAAAATTTCTAACAAAAACAACAAGCCTAATTTTGGAGAAAATGTTCAACAATTAGAAATAGATTTGGACAAAAAAGTTTTAATGGTATTATTACGTCTATCTGAACCTACCAATTTAGCTTTTGAAATTATCAATAAATCACCGTCGTCCTCGTCCTCGTCCTCCTCCTCGTCTAAATTAGCAAAAGCTTTGTATCGAGAACAATTGATTACCGAGGGGTTTTTGCTTGATTTGGTTTCAACTTATGGAAAATCAAATCCTAACTATACAAAAAAAATATTTGAAAGTATAATTAATTTTGTGCCAGAATTGATACAAGATCTTGAGAAACTTCCAGTTGTTATAATAAAATATGTAAATGCTATTGAGGATAAATTTGGAAAGAACCAAATTGAACCGTTGGAAGAAGAGAAAACATATTTAGCATTTATGATAGACATATCGATCACATTGGATTGTTTGTTTAGTATTTCTAAAAAGATTGCTAAAATGTTTAATAAAAGCACAGATTCAGATCAAAATTTTTTATTAATAATGATAAAGTTTTATGATGAAGCAATTCCGATAATGAAAGAAGTGTTAAAAAATGAAGATTACGAAACCTCCAGGAATTTGAGCATATCAAAATATTCGATAGTTTCAATGGTATATCGTATT